CTGCATAGTGCGTAATATGCTGTGCAACAAAATTTTTGGAAAACATAATTTAGCATCAGCCAATAAAAATACTGGCAATCTCTGACCTGAGAAGTTGATGAAACTGGATTAATACTGCTCACTGCACATAATATCTTATGTAAAATACTGTCAAAATCAGATATTGGTGGCAGAGGACAGTGCTGAAACATATCAACAAGTTAACAAGTTAGCAAGTTTGTCAAATTATTACTGTTATAGAACTCCACAGCAGCTATTCAGAAAATACAGCAGAATGTACAGAACAGGGTCATGACTTAAAGAAAAGTGCAAAGGTAAGATCTTCAGAATAGTGAAAGCTTCATATTCTGTTAAAGTAGACAACCCATTTAAACTGGACATGAAGCTGATGACTGAAAGATAGAAAATGCATTTACGTAGAGCCTTTTATGTCCTCAGATGTCCTAAAGCATTTTGCAGCTTGCTCATTAATAAATAAATTCAATATTAATATTAAAAAGAGAGGCAACAGTCAAAGCTCATAGTACTTGACTGACAAATTCATGAAGAAAATGTAGCATGTGCATGAGAATGAAGTTGGTTAAAGGAATGAAACAAGGTAAATAGTTAATAGATTTTTTTTTCCAAATGGAAGGGATGCGAAGTTCCTTGATCCAGTACTGGGAACTTGTTTATTTCTATACACACAAAAATAAGCAATCAGAATTTTGGAATATGGACACAGTTTGAAATAGTACAGAGGATACAAAGATAACAATCATATTCAACTGTGAAGATAATTGTAAGCAACTTCAGAAAGGCAAGCAAGTTAGTAGATTGGACTTATATGATACAAAAATGTACAATAACTCCAACTGATAGATTTCTGAAGAATAAGGGCACTATACACTGATTAGTAACATCTTCAAACCGTGAAGAGGGCCCTAGTTGTTCAGTCAAACATTTAAAAGTGAAAATGATATGTTACAAAACTACTAAAATACACGTGATATGAAATTTAACAAACAGGAGTGTGAGGTATAATCAATTAATGCCAGTGTTTTACAAATCAATGGTTTGTCCACAGTGACTGTGTGACATCAAATTTTGATTAGTTTACTTAACGATATTTGTCAAGGCCATGGAAAGGGCATAGAAGAGATTTACTATGATGGCATTGTGGATTGAGAGGAGACGACACTAGGGTTCTTCGTATAAAGATGGTTAAAAAGTGATCAGAAGCGATGTTCTAAATTAGGATGTTCTGACAAGGTGATTCCAAAAAAAATGACTTTCACTGATTATAGAATCAGTAATGAGAAATCAACAATTTAAGATCATTTGAATATCAAAGGGAAGCACTGGACTTCAATTGCACAGTGAGAGTTGTTAGGACACAAATACCTTGCTAGGAATGTAGTTGGAAACTGAATCAATAACTATTTTTAAAATCAAAGTACACAACTATTTTGGAAGGTACAAAAGGAAGGAAATGCACAAAAGATGGGACTGAGTACTTAACTTTAAGTTGATGCAATGGACCAAATATCTCTTCTGTGTTGATATGAAGTCAACTGACACTTTTATGAAGGAACTCTACTGACATTGCTTGAAAATGATGATTAAAGGCGGTAGAGAAATTAACAGTGGCATTGCTCAATTCTTTAAATGCATCCCTTACAGTCCAGGTAGGGAAAGGATCCAAACTCCTGAAATACCCATGGGTCGATGCTGAAGAAACTAGTGGCAAGTATAAAATAGAAGAGAAGCAGTATACTATCATCTCAATGCCTGCCCCTTGCCATCAAAGTCTGAATAAGAAGCAGTAATCTATCAGAAGGCATAAAATCCACAGCAGCTCCAACAGTGTATCTTGGCACTGATACAAAGTCATAAATCCAGGATTAACTCTACTTTTCCACAAACCAATGTAACTTATCTTTGTCACAAACACCTGACAGAGAATTTTAACTCCTTCCCCCAGCATGGAAATCAAGAGGAGCAATGGTGGGGATGGAATGGGTAAAATGGAGCAAGGTTCTAAAGTCTGCCTTCCCTATCTGATCATCTGAATTTTAAAATCCAGGCACCCAGAAAAACACCCTGCTCACTGCAGACACATTGACAGCCCCTAATACCAGCAGAAATATTCATTAACTATAAAAATTAATCCAAAATTTGTCACTGGGACCAATTCAAATCATAACAGCATGGAGGAATGCCCCAGTCACTTCCCTCAGGCCAAACCTTGTCAAAAACGACCTTACAAAATTAGTCTTTAAAAAGCCCTTTGGATTTCCTTGTGGGCCAGAAGCAAAAATGCTTCTCTTGCTTAAGCTTCCTCGTTCCACTAACAGAAGCAGAAGTGACAATTGCACATTCCAAAGAAGAGTCATACTGGACTCAAAAGTATTAACTGTTTCTCTCTCCACAGATGCCAGCAGATCTGATGAGTTTCACTAGCACATTTTAATTTAATTACAGATCTCCAGCATCGCAGTGTTTTGCTCTTTCTTCGTAAGAATGCATGCAACATCATAAGTCACTCACTGCTCTTAATCAGCACATAAAACAAATTTTTGACATTTCTACCTCATTTTGGTTTGAACCCCTTCGCAAGTAAATGAGTAGAAATGAAGTAAAATAATTAAAATGAACTCCACATTATCACGTGAAATTCAAGTTGATGAATGTGCATCAATGGACTGAAATCAGGAGCGAGCAAACAAACAAGGAAGTCAACTTTTACAGCAACTAGAAGAAATCAAGACATTGGTTAGAAATGCTGTTTAGCAGTCAGCATAATGATACAGTGGCACAAAACACATTTTTGCCAATTGGATGAATACAAGTAAAAAAAATCATTAAGTGCAGAAGTCAAAGAGCTCAATAGAACACGAAGTAAGGTTTGGGTTCTACGGTGGTGTTCCCAATACATGTTGCACTTTGATCAAGATAGCCACATAAATTACATCAAAAATCACAACATAAATCTGATACGGTTAGTTTTAGAGAAGATGCAGAATTGTATACAGCTGAAATGAAGAAGAAAAATGTGTGATTTCACATTGTAATCATACAATCACACACGATAAAAGTAGCAATGGCTTAGATTTAAAAATAGAAATAGAATTTCAAGGAAATAGTATCGACAGAAATGAGAGATAAAACTGCTTCTTTTGTAGGTATCCAGCTGAATCACTTCAACAGCATATACTGTAGGTCTCCAGACAAGAAATTCATGATGTAATTTCAATTTTAGCATACTGCATCAATCTAATAACTCCCAAGATAATGGAATGGTTTGACAGTATGTATTAATTAGGTCATTTGGTGTAAGCTGTTCGAAATTTCCTGATCTAATATTATCAACTTAGTTTAATTCGGAGTTTCACCATTTTCCACATTTCATTAATTAAACTTCTTGTAATCAGTACTTTATATAGCAATCCAAACTGGTCTTAGTGACACTGTATCAAGAGTCATACTATGTCATTTGGATGCTTAGTACAATTTAACAGGTATTGCAGAAAGGTAAAAATCACTTTGCTTGAAAAGAAAATTGAAGAAGTGTTTATATAACAAGTACAGTTCATAATGTAAAAATCATGAAAAACACACTAAGCTGAATAAACAATTTGAGCCACACCAACTTCACAGCCCAAAACTGGGTAACAGAAATATTTCCTTCATCGTACTCATATACAATTTATCCTTACACACAAGTTTACCAAAGCTTATACTCTTTACTGTGGCTTTGTAAAGTAAGGAGTGGAAGAAGAACTAGTGAATATAGTGGCACTCCAAGACCTAGTAGCAATCATCTTGAAAAAGTTTCATTCTTCATCTGCCTGGCTCCATGCTTATAATTATTACATGAAACCTGGCTGAAAGTTACAGAGAATGAAAAATACAGGACATGAAAGAACTTTTATTATTAGGCTTCTGTCAGGGAACAATCACTGGTTTATGATGGATACAAGTGCAGCGACACTGAAGGAATGGGATTTCATGGAGACACACAAGGGCTATGTTTCAATGATTCTGAGTTCAGGATACAACAATGGAGCAAATATGCAAACAATAAAGAATATTTCCATGATGAGTGTGTAAGAACATGTAAAGGTTATTGCAGTTCTAAAACAAAAAGGCAATCTTTCTTAAGGACTTTGGATTTGATGCATTTTGGTCAGCTGCTCAAATTAAGATACACCGTGGGATTCAACTAAAGATGAACAAAAGATGACATTTCTATGAGCTTGAAAGGATTCGGTGTCTGAGAGGTAAAACATTTGTTCTCTCATACCCAGAAAACCGCATTTCTTGCTCTGTTATTATCAATGGCTTGGAACAAAAGGGCAGGCACAAGCTTAACATGGTATTTATAGGAGATGCAAACACCTCCAGGATGCTATTGTGTCCTTTCTATCAGTCATTTACTGAGCAAATATTCAGTCTGTATTCTTAGTATAGTCATATGACGGGATATTAGAACTGAACTAAGCAGGGCAATTTCGTAAAAATAGTTAATGATACTTCATAAAAAGGAAATCTAGCACTGCACATTTAATGTTAGCTTTTCAAATTCTTTGCATGACATCAAAAAAGGAACGATCAACCTCACTCTTCAGAAGATGATTTGAAATGTCTTCAGAATTAAGCTTTCATCTAACTATTGTGTTTAATCAAAGGTTTGTATATACTCTAATGATGTATTTTGGAGGGGTCATAAATCGAAGTACTGCAGAGGCTGAAAACCTGAAACAACTAATAAACAGAAAATGCTTTAAACACTCAGCAAGTTGAGTCACATTTGTTGAGACAACACAAGTCACATTCGAGACTTCTCAGGAGTAAAAGATGTTGTATGTATTGAAAATTAATGAAGCAATCGTCTTTTTTTTGAAAAAAAGAACATTATACAATGGGAAGATATGTGGGGATATTTTAGGAGCCATTGAATGTCCCCTGACATAAAGCCACCAAAGGCAAAGAATGAAAGCAAGTTCTCTCATGCAGACCTGTTTCTCTGCAGAAGATCTAGAAGCTTCTTCCTGGGCGAGAATCACCTCTCTCTCTGCAGTTATCTGCACACTCTCACGCAGGGCTTCTTCCAGCTCCTCAATTCGCTCGTCTTTCTGTTGCACTGTTTCCTGGGAAAAAGCAGGAAAACTATGGAATATTATTCCAATGGATAACTGCAAAAGATTGTTAGCAGGTTCTCCGAACAGTTTTCATGGTGCAACTCTACTCGGATTAAAATAACAGGATCAAATCTGAAATGATTAAAAAAAAAGGTAAATTATCAAAATCCACAAACAATTTTTTTCACACATATTAAAAACAGCACCGATCAGTGGCTCTGCCCAAAATTTTCAAATTTCTACTATTCATCTGTAAATGTAAGATGAGTATAAAGGTAAACCTGCAATTAAAAAGGTTAAGAGAGGGCCAATTCAGTCTAAAGTATGTAACTGTTCACTTACAGGCTAGACATTGAAAAATAGTGCACTTAAGACGAAAGTTAATCAAATCATGAAATGGAAAGGATCTGTAGACTTCTAATTTTTGAAAATGGCCCTTTTCACAACTATAAGTGAAAACAAAACAAAAACAAATAAAAGATACATAAGCTGATGTTGGAACTGGCTGGTCACAGAGGGACACTGTGTACTACCGATTCAACGTATAAATTGAATTTGACAGCAGGCTAGAAATTTAATTCACTAAAATTAACAGTGAACGTGTTATCCATCTCAGTACTGAAGGGCCAATTTTAAACCCATATGTGGAACCTGACAATGGTGGTATTTTCAGAGTGTTGCAGCACATTATGGGGAAACATATAAAGGCTTTATGATGGGCTGTCTTTAAATAAGATTTTCAAGTATAGTTAAAAACTGAACAACAAAATATAGTATGTAAACTTAGAAACTACAATACTTATGAGTGCTAAGAAAGCAGTGTAATTATCTTTTTCAAGTCACACCAAATGATGTGATGGGGCAATGATGTACTTTATAAGTGTTAAAGAATAGCTGGTTATATACTTAGCAAAAATATTTGTTTTGCAAATAAAATTCATTATTCAGATTTTATGAACTTGTATTGTGCTTTTTAAATTCAGCATTCAATGAATGTACCATATCCCTTTAAATGACCCTTAATAAAATATACATTTTACAAAGTGCCCTTTGGCCTCCTGCTCAAGTAATTTCAACTGCAAAAAGTGTATAGTAAAGCAATTTAACCATTGTGTTCACATCAACTCTTGACTATAGCAATCCAAGGTAAATTCCACTATGCTACTTTCTCCCCATTGCTGTTCTTCAATTTCATTAGTAACCTGGGTCCTCCATCATTTTGTGAGGATTTTAAACTGATGACTCCTCTAAACTTAGTTCAGAAACAGAAAAAAAAGTCACCTATTCACCCCGTGAAAATCCATCACAATTTAAAAAGCCTTTATTAAATTTCTTCTCAACTCCTCTGCTGCAATGAGAGTGTCTCAGATTTCACATTTTGAATCTACATTTTCTTCCAAACATCATCTTAATTAAGGTACTCTGTACATTTTCTTTAATGGGGTACCCAAAATGTACATAATATTCTGTGGCATAATCATTGTCTTGAAACAAATGTACTGTTCCTCATCACTCTTATGTTCTATTACTCTAGATTTAAAGTACACATTACTATTGGGCGCTTAAATGGCAATATCTACTTATACCAGCACTTTTAAGGATTTTATTTATCCATACCCTTTAGTATTTTTCTATGTGGATATTTCCATTTTATGTTTTTTCCTCTCAAAATGATCTTAGCATTAAGCTTTAGTATTTATACTTAGTATTAGTATTTACTGTTCTATTTCTATTAAGCTGTTCATGTTCTCAACACTTCATGATTGTGTTTCTTTCATAATCAGCATATTCCAATATTATTTCAGAGATAGTAGAAACTGCCGATGCTGGAGAATCTGAGATAACAAGGTGTAGAGCTGGATGAATACAACAGGCCAAGCAGCATCAGAGGAGCAGGAAAGCTGAAGAAGTTTCTGAAGAAGGGTCTAGGCCCGAAACGTCAGCCTTCCTGCTCCTATAATGCTGCTTGGCCTGCTGTGTTCATCCAGCTCTACACCTGGTTATTCCAATATTATGTTGGTTTTGTCCAAATCAAAATCGTTAATATCCAGAACTGTGAACCATGGGGATATCAAACTTCTATTCACACTTCCAATCTATCATCAATTCAAGTCATGAACTGAAATTTCTTACTTCTTACCTGAAGCCACCTTTTATCCATAGAGTCATTGAGTCATATGTTGCTACATTTAATCTTACACCATATTCCTAAACTTTTGCAACTAAGGAAATACTTTACTGAAAATCAGTTAAAAATAGATCTACATCTATTGCATTACTTTTATATGTCAATCTCATCTTCAAAATAACTTACTGAATAGTTAAACTTACCTATTCATGAAATAAATTATGTAAACCTATTGCATTTTTTAAGTGATTAGACGATATTCCAAATTTAAAGTTTTGGCAAAGATCCGTAGCTTGGGTTATGGATGATGTTGTTGACTGGCTCGCCGAGCTGGCTTGTTCTTGTTCAGACCTTTTGTCACCATGCTAGGTGACATCATCAGAGGAGCCTCTGGTGAAGCGATGTTATTCTACTCTGTTTGGAATTTATACTGTTCGGTCAGTTATGGTGAGTAGTTATTTTTGTTTTTGATCTGTATGGGTTTGTACATGGGGTCCAATTCTATACGTTTGTTGATTGAAGTGTGGGTGGAGAACCATGCAATGACTGCCACAAATATTACATCGGACAGACAGGGAGGAAACTAGCCTCAGAATACATGAACATCAGTTAGCAGCAAAACGGCACGACAAACTCTCCTTAATATTGGTACATTCAGACAATGAAGACCATCAATTTAACTGGGACAAGGTAACCATAGTAGCCCAAGCCAAACACAGACATGCACGGGAATTCCTAGAGGCATGGTTCTCCACCCACGCTTCAACTCAACAAACACACAGAATTGGACCCCATATACAAACCCATACAGATCAAAACTGGAAATGACAGCGTTCACCATAACGGACCAGACAGTATAAATTCCAAGAAGAGTAGAATAGCATCGCTTCATTGGAGGCTCCACTGATGATGTCACCTAGCAAGGTGATGAAACATCTGAACAAAATAAGCCAGCTTGGGGAGTAATGTTCCAAATTGAAGAATTTATTCACATTTCATACATCCTTAAGCACTCAAAATAGATAAAGCCTCTGGTAATTGTCTCAACACCGACATCTATTTCAAACCCAGAGACTCCCACAGCTACCTGGACTACACCTCCTCTCACCCACCTTCCTGCAAGAATGCAATCCCTTACTCCTAATTCCGCTGCATCTGCTCCCAAGATAGAGCATTCCATTCCCGGACATCCCAGATGTCCTCCTACTTCAAGGACTACAACTTACCCCCCTCCATTGATTCATAATGCCCTCAACCACATCGCTTGCATTTCCTGCACTTCTGTCCTCAAAGCCCCTCCCCCCAACAAAAAGAAAGACACAGAGTCCCTCTGGTCCTCACATACCACCCCACCAAACTCCGCATCCAGTGCATTTTCCTCCGCCACTTCTGCCACCTGCAATCCGACCCCACCACCAAAGAGATATTTCCCTCCCTACCCCTAATCTGCCTTTCATAGGGACCACTCACTCCATGACTCCCTTGTCTGCTCCACATGCCCCACTAACTCTACCACTCCAGGGACATTTCCTTGCACAAAGTGCTACACCACCCCCTCACCTCCATCCAAGGCCCAAGGCAAATTTTCCATATCTGACAGGGGTTCACCAGTTCATCCTCCAACCTGGTCCACTGTATCCATTGCTCCTGATATGGCTTCCTCTACATTGGTAAGACCAAGCGTAGACTCGGGGACCGTTTCATGCAGCATCTGCATTTAAGTGTACATGACAAATGACAACACCTTCCGGTCGCCAACTATTGTAACTCCCCCTCCCACTCCCTGCGTGACATGTCCATTCTGGGTCTCCTCCAGTGCCGCAACAATGCCACACGCAAACTGGAGGAGCAACACCTCATATTCCGCCTTGGGAGCCTACGGCCCGATGGCCTAAACATAGAATTCAACAGTTTTAAAATCTCCTCACCCCCAGCCTCATCCCATGTCCAAGCCTCCCTCTCATCCCCAACTCAACCTATCCATCTTCTTCCCCATTTATCCACTCTACCCTTCCTACCGACCAATCCCCACTACCCTCTAACTGCATCCACCTATCACCACTCCACCTACCTTTCCACAGCCCCACCCCTCCTCCTTGCATTTATTTCTGAGCTCCCTTTCCCCCTCCTCTTCTGAAGAAAGGTCCCGACCCAAAACGTCAATTTTCCTACTCCTCTATGCTGCCTGACCTGCTGAGTTCCTCCAGCTCCACAGTGTCATCTCGGACTCCAGTATCTGCAGTTCTTGCGATCTCCAAAGCAGTTTATTAGTTAACATTCACATTTTAGCTCAAAGCAAGGAAAAAAAATGTTCATGGTGAGTCAATTAAAAATAAAGTTGTATCCAAGTTAAAACTTAGGTCTGATCTATATTGTGCACAGTTATTTAAATTCATAATGAATTCTTAACTATATTGTACCACAAGACTGTTGATTGCTTAGCTTAGTTAATTTGTTTTTGTATCTATTTGAGCAATTTTAAAGTGAATTCATGGTAAAACTGTAAAACAGGTAATAGAATGAATCCCGATTTTTCCAGCAGCATGTCCTCCTTGTATAGTGGGTGTGAAAACTTATGTTATTTATCAAAATGTCATCACATTGAAATACAGCAAAGAATTTCAATGCAATTGTTGTTATCATGCTCTGCGGTAATAAAAACTGAAAGGATTTCCTAACACATATTTTTACACAAAACAGCACCACCTTAATTTAGTGATTGAAGTCTCCGTGGTAATAGAGGGCCATGAGTTCTAGTCGCAATCTGATTTGCAACATTTCTGATGTTACAATAAAAGCCTCTCCTCCCCCTCCACATTAAAGGTGTTAGATCAATATAAACTTGAATATATTATTATGAATTGCCAGATTAATGTTAAAG